ATGATGAAAAACCTAATTGGAATGAATTATTTATTCTTGCTCGATTAATAACAAAAGCATGTCATCATATCAATCGAGTTGTTTATATTCTTGTAAATAAATATAAAAGTTTTGATGTTTTGAAATTTTTGATTTTTTGTTTAGGGTAAAAAAATTCTTGATGCAGAAATTACACAAGTAACACGTACATCATTAACACAAGATATTGTTGATAAAGCTCGTGCATGTGATGATCATGCTATGGTTATATTAAAACGTTATAATGCATATAGTGCATTGAGTCAAATGCCAGTCGTATTAATTCCAATACAATTTGATAGACAAATTTATTTAAATGATCATGAAGAAATAAATAAAACAGATGAAAATATTAATGAAAGAATCATTCCACTTACACGTCTTCGACCAATAGCTAGTAGTTTTCAACATTCAGTTGTTTTACGTACATTTCTTACAAAAGATTTTATGACTGGACGACCAGCTGTACCTGGTGAAACATTTCCTTTTGAAATGTTAGATGATATGTGTCAAACAATTAAAAGTAATGTACCCGGTATAAGTCGAATTTTATATGATTTAACATCAAAACCACCAGGTAGAAAAATTAACATAAAATTATTTTTTTGAAATATTTTTCTTTGTTTTTTTTTTTAGCAACAACAGAATGGGAATAAAATATTTCATTTTCATATTTAATGTACTTGTATGAAAAAAATTCAATTTACTTTTTTGTTGTATCTTAAAAAGAAAAAAAGAATAAAAGATATTTCATATGAATGCCAAAAATACCAATGAAATAAATATAGTTTTTATTTTAATTATAGAAAAAAAAACCTAGATTAATTAATAAATATTACATTCCAAGATTTTCTATCAATGAGAAGAAGAAGTCAAAAATTCTTCACTAAGTTTCTTATATCGATACATATGATGATGTTGATGAGCTCGTTGAAATTGTTTGAAATAATTATTTGATATCTTATTCCATAAAGAATATCATTGATAGATCAATCCATCATAAAGTGGTGGAAAAGAGTTTAGAAACAACGATTTTTTTGGTTTTTTTCATAATGTTAAGCACGTAGCTCCAATCCAAATAGTGATTTTAATAGCCAATGGAGTTTTCTATCCAATACACTTTATAGAAAGATTTCACAGATGAACAATGATGGTAAGGCTCCTGAAAAAAACCGAACACTGTATTTTTCAGGTTCTAGCAGACTTTGCCAGTGCTATTTTTGAACGGTGCCGTCTCAAAGAACACAAAACTCTGAGCAAAATGAGAGGTCGTCGAATTTTCTATGACCTTCTCGTAAAAAGTTACAAGCATTACAAAAATCATGAAAAAAGGCAATTTTAGTCGATTTTAAAAAAAAATTTCGTTTTTTCATGATTTTTGTGAAGCTTGTAACTTTTTATGAGCAGGTTGTAGAAAACTCGGTGATCCCTCATCTTGCTCTTTAAGATGACACTGTTCAAAAATAGCTCTGACAAAGTCTTCTAAAAACTGAAAAATATTGTGTTTAGTTTTTTAGGAGTCTTGCCATCATTGTTCATCTGTGAAATCTTACTATAAAGTGTATTGAATAGAAAACTCCATTGACTATTAAAATCACTATTTGGATTGGAGTTACGTGCTGAACATTATAAAAAAGTCGTTGTTTCTAAACTTTTTTCCATCACTTTATATAATGCAAAAAATAAGCTGAATAAATCATCTAATTCTAATGTTGTACGAAATGTTCGATTATGATATGTCTTATGTATGAACCAAATAGATCCATGAAAAAGATATTTATGTAAAAAAACAAAAACCATGGAATAAGTTTCATATCTATATGATTTTATTGCAAAGGAAATGTGATCAAGGATGAAATGGAAGAAAAAGAAAATCAGGTGTCAGATGAGAATTACAAATAATATATTTATTTTCAAGAAAATAAAGATATTTGACTTATTCTTTCAACTGTGAATGAACGACTATCATACTGTGCAGAATTGCTTTGTATGATTGATCGGAAACAACTAACGAGGGAACATTCCCTGGTGTTGGAACGCTTTTGAGTCGGGACTTTGCACATCTTGTAGGCCTTGATGAATTATGTCTACCGTAAAAAAAGTTCGTGCCCCTAGCTTGTTCCTAGTGGGATATCGAGGTTTTAGTGAATTTTCCTATAAAACCCCACATTTGCAGCAAGGCCATATTTTTTAATTTTGATCTGAAACTTTGTCTACATAAACATCTCAGCTAGACTAGTTTGTATAAAAATTTTCAGAACTTTTGGACAAAGTCTCTCCGAGATATGAAGCTCTCAACGAATAGGTCGTTTTCCATAGATAGCGTATAAAGCATGCATTTTTTGAAAGCGTCATATCTCGGAGAGACTTTGCCCAAAAGTTTTGAAAATTTTTATGCAAACGAGTCTAGCTGAGGTGTTTATGTGGACAAAGTTTCAGATCAAAATTAAAAAATATGGCCTTGCTGCAAATGTGGGGTCTTATAGGAAAATTCACTAAAACCTCGATATCCCACTAGAAACAAGCTAGGGGCACGAACGTTTTTTACGATAGACATAATTCATCAAGGCCTACAAGATGCGCAAAGTCCAGACTCAAAAGCGTTCCAACACCTGGGAATGTTCCCTCGTAAGCCTAATCATACACGTATTTAATAATTTGCCTTATTCAACCAATTTTTTATCTTTTCTCGGGTCAAGCAAGTTATTATACTTTCCGTGTTCTCTCATTTAGACATTGGGAAAAATAATAAAGAAACTGACTATGCAACAAACCTGAAAGCGGTTTTCTTCTTTGTTGTTTGTGTTTACTTTTACATTTGATGACAATAATACTGGTCGTATAATACAAAAAACAAAACAGTAAAAATGACACATCTCATGCACGAATGTTAACTATGAGAACAACGTGTTTTTACCAGTTTTATTCATCCAATCACTGGTGACGATATTCTTTAAGTTTTTATTACAAGCAATCTCTGTAGAATTACTTAGCATAATGAATAACCTGGTTGTGAACTCCTTAAATTGTTACTATTAGCAGATGTTTTAGAGCTAGAAAAAAGTCAATTTTGATGAGTCGATGAACTTCACATATGTTAAAATGTTTCTTTTCCGCTTTTTTTCGATTTTTCAGCCATTTAATTTTTTCACAATTCTGTACTTTTTCTATTCTCTCATGTCTATTTTTCTATTTGTTTTACTTCACTTCCATTTCTTCTTTTCTCTTCTATCCGTATTTGATTTATTCTGTTCCTCCATGGTCCATTTTTCATTCTAATTACAAATCAGTACTTTAAGATATTGTTCTCATGTAACTTAATGAATCTTTTCATGTTCTACTTGGTTAGTTAGTTTGACTTTGTTGATAGATATCCTTATGTCGTCTAAAACAATGTAGAAATTCTTGATTTCAGATTCACTTGCGCTATTGGAAAACGAGAGAAGGAATGTTATCCGTTGTTTGTAAGTTTCATCCGTTCGTGCTATCAAAGATGATAATGTGCATGCAAGTGTCTACAACAGGCTTGCCAAATTGAAATTTCGGAAATAAGGAGTTTTTTTTATTAAAAAACAGGAGTTTACCAGGAGAATTTCTTTTATAAATCAGGAGAACAATCAGGAGTTTTTCTATTTGCAGTTAGGAGAATATTAGATGATTTTCTCGTAGAAAATTTGAATTTTCGCTCACATAAGTACTTTTGTCTCTTTCATATCAAGTTGATGATGAATAATTTAATACAAATGATATTATTTTCACTTGAGTTCTATCACAAGTAATGTTTTTTGCTGTATATAGCAGAATCATAAAAATATTTTTTGTTTTTAGTTATATCTATTATATACACTTGGCCAGTTAATATTCTTATCTTCATTCTTTCCAGGTTCTTTTTTATTCTGATCTACCAGTCAAAATTCTCTTTCATTGTGAAGTTCAAGCAAAAGTATTTAAATAAATTAATAGAACGATAGAAAGACAATCATTCTTTGTTTCTTACACCACTATATGAATTGTTTACACGTACTTCTTCGCTCATTTTTGCAATGAGAGTTTTATACCGTTAATATGTTATAAAAACAAGATAAGTTAACTTTTAACAAACTAAGTTGTTTTTCTCTTAAGCCTTTTATGATCTATTAAATGAACATTTTATCGAAATGGCTATTACTTCTGCTTCTTTTTTATTGGTGCCTTCGCTTTTTTGTTGTTGTATTATAGATCTATTCATTCTTTTCATGTTTGTAATTCCTATCAGACTTTGACAACAAAATAGCAGTACAAATCAGCCTATAGCAATTCCATACTAATAATGAAAATGAAACGCAGGAATCTTGCTTGATTATTCAAGATATTGTCCTATTCTGAGCTAAAAAGGATCCGACGTGATTTTCAAGAAATGTAAAATTCTTTCCAGATGAGAGGCATTTTGCCTGGTCATTTAAAATTTTATCTATTGATCTCTTGTCTGATTTTCAAAATCTTATTTTTCAGACAATAACATGTACTTTTCTGCTATCTTCAGTAAAACAAGTACTTTGTATACAATTAGGTCATGTAATTGATGATTTTTTTTACAGAGAAAAATGAAATAAAAGCAAGTATTATCTTATTCGTTACTATAAGTATTAAATACTGCGATAGTTCTTTTTTTTCCTTTTAACTCTCTTATTAGTTCAAAGTATCGCTAACAACCAAATAGGAAAAAAACTAAAAATCAGGAGAAAATGTTGAAAATCGGCTTCTGAAATCAGGAGATTTTCTATCAGGAGAAAAGTCCAAAAATCAGGAGGTTTGAAAAGCCTGAAACAGATGGATTACGTATAGAAAACTCTAGACTTTGCTAACTTTATTTTGATTAAAATTAATCAATCTCCTCACGCAAGATATTACTTAATAAATATGAAAAACGCCAAAAAAAAATGTTGTTATCATTGCGATAGTTTAACTAAATCAACTTGTACTTCTCTAGATTCGATATCGATTTAAATTATATCGTGTTCAATCAAAATTTTCAATAAATTTCTATTTCTTTTCAACTGTAATACATCGAAAACATTTTCATCTTTCAAATTTCTTCTTCGTAAATCAGATCCCATTCTGATTAAATATTCGATTAATCTATGTCGACATCCACATACTTTAAGACAAACATAAAGTAATGGATCATTGCCATCTTCATCTAATCGATGAATAAATGATGGTGATAGATTTAATAATTGTTTCACAAGTTTACATTCTTTTTTTTCTAATAGAATAAACAATAGATTTGTATTTGTTGTTAACCATGTTCTTATTGGTTTGTCATCTAACATGTCATGAAAGAATTTTCTTCTCTTTTGATTTCCAGTCAATATCCCAATAAATTTTCGACTATTCCAACATGATTGAAAAAGATTTCTTACATGTTCGTTGTAATGAATAATGAAAAGAATTATATCGAGTCGATTGCATATGATTAAATTCCCTAGAGATTTTGTAAAATTATAAGGCAACGATTCATCTGATGGCATTGACACATTTAGAATATTTTCATCAAGTACAATTTTTAATATTTCAATTTGACTTGTATAAACAAATATTTCCTGATCAATATTAAGTTGAATTGGACTAATGAACTTGAATAAATCCACAATACTATCAATCCACCAAAATTCTCTAACACATTCATAATTTAGACATTATAAAGTAAAAAGAAGTAAATCTACTGTAGCTTTATAATATTGAATATTAAAAGAGGTACATGATGTTTTACAATTCCAAGCATGACATCGATAGATTAAATAGAATAGAAAGAAATAGATTACACAACCACCATTGACAACATAAGCTCGATTATGTAGAAGATTCAAATTCGAAATCACGAGTACTTTAAACATTTGAATGATGGAATTAATAAATCGTTGAGATATAGGTGAAACAGTGACAATGTTGTCTAGTAATAAAATGTTTACGGCTTCAGCAAAATTAAAGTCAAGATATTCATTGTTAGGACATGTAAGTTTAGCACCTTTGATGACAACTAATGATTCAATTCGTTTGATATTATTCATAAATTTTGAGCATTTTTTTAAATCCTTGAATATTTTCGCTAATTCCATATCGAAATTGTTAGCATCATCATCAGTAAGTTGCATACGTAAACATTGAAATTGTTTTATATTTGATTTTAACTGATCAGCTGATTGTTTATATTTATATTTGATATGAAAAACAATTAATGATTGAAGACATTGACGAAGTTGTTGATCGTTTTCTGTTATTGTCAAAGATAATAATTGTTGAGATATGTCATGAAATACTTCTGATTTATAATAATAATCAATATTTACATCCGTGATATCCATACAGAGAAAATCAGTGAGTAAATGCATACGTTTATCGACAAGAATATTATTTATACGTTGATTTACGCCAGAAAATGTTCGAAATATTGTATAAATATCATCAGAATATCGTATAATAATCATTAGAATTTCATCAGGTAGTGTTTCAAACGTAGATGGCAACATGTTTTGACTGCTGTTTTGTTTTGATAATGTAAAATACGAACTATACTCACTATTTACCTAATTTCTAACACATGTTATTGCACAATGACATTGTCATTATGGAGTCGATTTAGTAGTTATTTTTTGTTCTATTCTCTCCATCCGAAAAAAGAAAGAAAACAAAAATGTATGCCAATATATTTATTCTTGTCGAAACTATTTTGGTTGTCTTTTCAATTATACTCACACCCACACCCACCCTCATGGATATTGGATACCATTTGTCACATACTTTTGCTACAAGATGGACGGTCTACTATGGGAAAAGACTAGAAGACAGCTGTTTTTTGCAAGCACTTGTTCGAGCACGTTTGAAGCTCTTGATGCTTAGTATTGATACTGAAAAAATGACTTTGGTTCTGAATGATATAGTGGAGAGCGAAGGTAGACAAGGTGACTCATATATAGGTCACTTAGTGGCTTATCTAGTGGGTCACCAAAGTAAGGCGAAAGATTGACCGATCAAACTGAAATTTATAGGAGTAACGACTGACTATGAGTACTACGATTGCTGAAAGTTTTATGAAAAATTGATCATGCATTCTATGGGGGGGGGGGGGGGGGCGATAACAACGCAAATCGACCTCTGTCCTTTTCCAAAATAATTTCAAATGTTGGTAGTTTCAGTAGTAAACAACATGTAATAAAAGGATGTGGCAATACAACTAATTTACTAAATATCTGAAAACGAGACGGTAATACTGCGTTCGCTGAAAAACACATAATTATGCCTGTGATTGCCAATTCGCGTTGAAACAAACGCTACAATTACATTCGATTCAAATACAATTCGATTATGTTGGACAACACATAGGTTTTGTGGTTAATGCTGGTAATGCTATTAAACAGAGTGAGACAGTTAATTCTGATGATTCAACAATGAAATGGTTAACTGTTTCAGTGCAATGTAATACAAACAACAATGATAATGTGTTTGTTTGGGTTCCATCCGACAAAGGATCGTATGTATATAAAAGTGGCAATTCTTACTATCGTACAGTCAATGAGAACTGTTCTGTTCTAAGCAAGTCTGTTCATTCAGCACTACAAACGGATGTAGGTTCGATGGTGAACGGAAGGGTTAATACTTATTCGATTGACACAATACTAGTCATCGAATAATATTGATGGTAGCAAAAACATGTCAGTACACTTCCTTTCGAGATTGATCTGCGGAAGTTACATCTGCTCCCACATCCACACGCAGCTATGAAAGAACATAATAGAGCCCTTTCAAAGAATGTTTGGATGGAATATGCCAAGTTTACGCTCGTAACTTCTGGTTTTTCTCGTGATTATTGGAAAAAATTGGACGGATCGACTCAGATAATAGAAAAAATTACATAAAAAATTTAATTGAAGATGATCAGTTCTTTTGTGTCTGAGAACTTCAGTCATGCTGATTGACTCTTGGCCGTTTAGTCTGAATGGTAGGTTCCATAGGTGCATTTTTTCTCTTGTTTTTCTTTTTCGTTGTTGATACTTTTTCATCTTCAGTATATATCTCTAACAAGACAGGATACACTAACCAAGCAAAACTAAATAATTCATTGAATCGTGTAAATTGTTTTGTTCGTTGATTATCCATAGATTTGTTTTGTTTCTTGTTTTTGATCTTTCGATATGTTTCTATACGTTTGATCCATGACTCATAAGTAGTATGAAACCATGCTGATGCTTTTTGTTTGACTGCATCCGATAGTGTCATTTGGTTATAATATTCATATATGTCAACTTGATTTTTCCAAGATAGTTTTTTCGATATTTCAGACCATGAAACTTTTTCCTCATCTGATTCATCTGTTACTTGATAGAATTCTTTCCAGAAGAGAGTCAAATATCTGAGAAGAAAGAAAATCAAAAATCAAAAAAACAAGAAGAAACTTCGTGCATATCCTTACTTATCTCGTATGACTTTGTATGCATGTGTAATTTCATTTCTTAAATCGAAAATTTTGGTTTCTTTTACATATTGTTTTGAAGTAAATTTAAGAAGACAACCTGATACAATTTCAGCTTCATTTTGAATACCATATTGCCGCATGATTCTTAATATGTCTCGGTTATATTCACCTTTTATAATTCGAGCATCTTTTATATAGTTTTTATCACCAGCAATAAAAAATGATTTATAGGGAAATGATGATGTTGCTCTGATTTCTTCTTCTTCATCAATATGTATCTCGCTATCATAAAACGGAATTTTATCATGGAGTTGACCGAGAATAGATTTTGAATGATATGTTGGCTTGTCGTTTTTTTCCATAAAATGTGGATACTGTGAAGGACGAAGTTCTTTTGTAAGATGAGGTGCATTGATTCCTTTTTTGGCAAAATCTACAGCCACGCTGTATACAAAAAGAGAAATATGACTTGAACTTTTCTAACAAAGATTATTATATTCATAACATTAGAATTACGATCAAAGATCAAACCCATCAGTAGAATGATAGCTAGGTGATGGTAGAAATAGGTACAAATTTTAACCGTGTTTCTGACACAGCTCATTAGGAGACATGAAAAATAATTTTATATAATATCTGTAGATATCAGTGCAATAGCTATAGATGACTTTCAATAACGAACATATGAACGAGCATGTTTAATGTCTATAATTTTAAGTTTCATATTTGCTTTTTCATAAACATCGTATTCGAAATATTGTGAAGTTGAAAAGTTTGAAAATTCTGATTTTCCAAAAATTTCGATTCACTGACTAATTGCATGCGAATGTAATTTTACTAATGAACTACTACAGTTTGAAAAATAAAAATACTTTGATACCATACATATAAATGTTTCTAGAGCTAGTTTTTAATTATTTTTCAAATGTATAATGAGTTGTTCATGACGATCTGACAGCTTAGCTCTGAATAATTTTATTCAGAGAAAGCTCCTATCCATAATGGTTGTGAAATGATGGTATGACAATATCAAAATTGCTTTATAAGTGAATGAAAATTTTTCAGTAAATTCTAAATGAAATGCTTTTTTTGAGAGATCTTAAGAAAGACTGTAAAATCACGTTTGTGCTCAAGAAGAGTTCTGACCAATGGATTTTCAGAGTGCACCGCTATATTTTCGAATTTATTGAAACATTTTCTATCGATATATTTTTCTTATGATCATAATCTACTGTGAGATTGTATTTATTGAAATTAGAAATTGATTTTCTAATTTCATGGAAAAAACAATAATCTCAAATATTCGTGTATTGCCTTTCAAAAACGAAACAACACTTCTTCAATAATATAAGACTTTTTAAATCCCAATCTAACAGAAAAACTGATAGTGTATTTTCATAGTGATAATGGTAATATATATATATATATATAACTTCCTTGCCTTATTCATAAACGAGTAAAATATCAAAGATTATTTGTGCTTTGACTTGATTATAATATCATGAACATATAGTGATTATAGATTCAGCTTAACATACCTATGCATTTTAGCTAATTGAAGGCAGTTTTTGTTTCGGACGCCGTCTTCTAATTGATCTGAAAGAGCTAGATGACTATTGGCAATAAGACCAAGACTAAAACAAATACTATTGATTAATGTAAGATGAAAATTCTTTAGATTACTTGTCAGCTGCAATATATTCACCAAAAAAATTACAAACATCTTCAATCGTATGTTGGACATCATTGGTTGTTTGCATTTTATTAGCTTCATGATCTTGATCTTGATAATCAAATGGATCTTCGTTTTCTTTGAATATTAAATCTGGATGGCGGCTTATCCAGAATGTATCCCCATCAAGATCACCGCCAGACATTTCTGCAGGATGAGCACGCGGTCCATTCATAGGAAAAACAATAACGTTTTTTAAACTGTGTAAAGCAGGTACATCGACTGCTGTCAGTTTTCGAATATCACCTTTCCATTAGAAAAAAAAGGAATAGATTAAAAGTCACTCTACAAAATTAATTCAATTATTATTTGTTATTAATTCCATACCTGGATGAAAACATGGATTTCTTGTTACTACTACAGGGCCTCGAAAAATTTTTCCTGTTGATTCATCTCTTTGTTCATTACTAGAATCGATTTGAATAAAAACTTCACCATAGTTGAGTGTTCGACTTTCATCTACCACACCCAATAAAGACCATGAATTCGGTACAAAAATTTTTGCTTTTGTTCGTAATTCTTTAACAAGAGAAGTTCGAATAACACGAATAAGCTGTCGAACAAATGGATCTCGTTGTTCACGTAAATGTTTTAAATATGCAATTAAAAATCCATGATAACCATTTTCATCAAAGTTACTCAATTTTTTTAATGTTTCGCATGCCTCAAGAAAATTACCTTCTAATGCTTTTAACATTTTTAGCATATCGCTTTGTAATGAAAGAAAAATCTGATCACCAATACCAAGAGATGACAAAAGTAAAATTATTTGTCTATTCAGATATGCAACTGTTGGATGCAATGATGTACGTATAACATCAATAGAAAGTGTTTTTGCAGCGAATTTATTCATAGATTCGCGAAAGTAAACATCTATATTTGGATTGTTAATCTTACCAGCGACATCCAAGCAAACCATACCTACAATAAATTTTCGATCGTTTACTTTTTTATCCTTCAAAGTTATATTGTAATAGTTGTATCAAGATAGAATATTACCTTTATAGCCACCGCAACGAATTTGGAATGCACATGGACAAACTGTTTCAGGTAATTTCATGGTTCTAGCTAATCTTTTGGCCAATGTAAGAGAAATAATGCCAATACCATCTGTGAAACAATATTCATGAATACCGTTTATTTCTGTTGTGGATCTTCTCTCATCTGATATTTCCTTTATTTGATGACTTTCTAATTGGATACCTTTAATACTGGTTGAAAATGATTGTCCTAACTAGAAAGACAATAGATGCTCAAAATCTTGAAATAAATATTTTACTAAGCGTACACGAGCAGCTAACTTGGCTATAGGATGAACATTTCGAAAGTCACCCATCCATTCACGAATAATATCAACTGTGGTACGATCGTCTGGTGAAGCAAACATCCAGCAAGAATGTTCACGTAATTGTGAACTTGAAAAAGCTAAAAATTGATAGTTTCGATCACACACATTAATTCCATTTTTCAAGATTTTTTTAATGCGTTCGTACATCTTCGCCATATTATCGTTGTAATTATGTAATACACGATAGTCTATATGGAAAATTGATGTCATGTGAAAATTTAAAGCGATATTTTAAAATCAATCGTCTCACCTTCATCACGAAAAGTTACACGAAGAAATCGATCTTGATACTGAACATATTCACGCGTAACAGCACATTTTTCTTCACAATAAGGACCTTCATAAAGAATGGTTGACGGTGTTATATATATCTTACGTGTCAAAAATGAGTCATTTTTCGCTGTACGTAATTCAAGTCTAGTTAAAACAATGCCGCTTGCTGTTCTACAAAGTTCATAGTTTTTGAGTAATTTTTCAAAAGCTAAATTAAACAGACGGCTCAATCTTCCACCAGGATACTTTTCCAATCCTAATGATTCCATGGTTGTCATCTTTGATGCTATTTCAGCATTGATGAAACCTCCAGTAGCGGCAAATCGAATATTTTTAGAAATGAAAAAATCGTCATCAGTGATCGGAAGATCGTCCATGTTTGGCAATTGATTTTCTTCAGATTCATTTTGATTATTCCAATCATCGTCTTCCTTATCACAAGTTTTAGCACACCATAGCAGAGCAAACTCGAAAATCTTATCTGCAAAGATCATGAAATATCATTAGCACAACAAAATCAAATAGTACTTTTTTTTTTCTATTTACCGGTAAGAGCAACTAATGTATTAATTGAATATAACTGTAGAATATGTTCAGCTCGTTCATCAACAATTAAATCATGAACTGTGACGATATGTTTCGAGATAAGTTTCATGATTTCGAATTTTGTTTCAAAAGGATACAGTGGCCATCGATGATTAAAGAAATTATCTACTTTAGCTTGATTTTCTCTTATCCACTTGTCATTTGATATTAATGTGATGGGTTCAAGATTCTTCTTGGCAGACTCAATATTTTGAATCGAACAAATGATGTCAGATTCAGATAAATTTCCTGATAATAAATTGTTGTCACTTAATAGCTGGATTAACTTTCTAATATTATTATCCCCATCATTTGAAGCTAGTTTAAAGAGCCACACATTAGCATGACCAATAAGTCCAAAGCCAGGTAGACGCTTTTCCTCATGACTTTCAGAGATTGAAGAACCAGTGTCTTTTGTTTCCAATAGTATTGGAGGTTGCTTAATTTCCATCAGTAAAAAGACTTCATTTTCATTGATTAAAACTAATGTTATCTTTCTACGTTTCAAACTAAATTGCAAAAAGATTTTTTCTTTTCTAATGTTCTAAATATTTAATTAAAACAAAACAGAACTTACTCATGAAAACTCCATTCAAACTTGAGTATAGTAGAGTTAATAGAATCAGGTCCCCACTTTAACTCCAATGCACTGGTTATTGCTATGCTTTTCTTATCTTTAATGACTTCTAGATGAAAATCTTTGCATTTATTGATTTCAAGAGTATGTGCGATGATACCAAATCGGTCAGTATTTGAAGCCGTATTCTCCACTGTTTGTATATTTTTCAGAGATGTTCCTGCTATTAATGTACCATAGTGAATGTCGGTTATTTTTAAAGTCACATTTGATTTTGAATTATCCGCCTTTGATATGTCCAGTGAAGTATTCGTGTGTTTTTGAGTGAATGAAATACAACGCCTTAAATATAATGGACGATCATTAAAAACGAAGGATGCTATTTTGTGTTCACTGTGATACAGAACTTCAGCAGCAGTGGCTACACAATCAAAGCGAACAAAGGCATAGTGAGCACCTTTCTAAAAGTGATATGCTGCTAAACAATGAACAAGCTCATGAACTTACTCTTACCTGATTCTTTTTCATGTCAACACGGCTAACGTTACAACCGCGTTCGGCAAACCAATTTCTTAGATCATACCATTTTGCGGAATATGGTATATTGCCTACATACAGCTGAGGAGTTGATAAAGGCATGCGTTCAGATTCATCAGCGATCGGATCAATCACTAAACAGTATGTCCCCGTGTTATGAATTTCTCGAATAAGTGGAGGAGCGTTCAAATAGATTTTAAGCGAATCATTAAGAAATGGAGTAGATGAATTCGAGTTTGTTGAACCATTAGACGTGCGATGCCTAACCAAATGAAATGCCTTTGTTTCTGTATTTACCCAAGAATGAGAATCGTCGCTCTCATCGAAGTCGAAACTATTGGAATCATCATTCTCGTAGAAGTTGAAATCATTGGAGTCATTGTTCTCGTCGTGGTCGAAATCATTGGAATCATCGTTCTCGTCGAAGTCGAATTCGTTGGAATCATGGTTCTCGTCGTTGTTGAAATCATTGGAATCATCGGGATCGTAGTTATCGTATGTTTCATCTTCTAAACTATCGTCATTTGTATCAACTTCAGATAATGATTCTACCGTCGACATCGTTCAATGAATGTAAGATCTACAAAAAATCTTCTATTCTATAAGTTTATTCGACAAAGTTTCAACTAAGATGAAGCAAGTCTATTAATGAATTTGCTAAAATATTGATTGAGTCTTATGAGGACTTTAAATATTAGTAGTGTATAGATCCAAGATTCTTATGATCTCAATTAAGTGAAATAATGACTCTGTCTGCTCCTTTTGATTTCACATTTCCCTGAATACGCGAAAGTTAGTAATTCTCGTCAGTGAGAAATAATGTGTCTGCATTCTCTGATGACTCTTGCAGTATTTGAAATCTTATTAACATTCAGGATAGTGGTGTAACAATACATCGCATCATGTTTGTCTGTTGCATGTGACTTTGAAACATTCGATCCTACACGGCACTCATTCGCTAATGACTTCTCACTATGCTGAAAAGATAGCAAAATGTTACAGATAGGTATAGATGTAAAACGGGTTAGTGTCGATGATAAAATTTTGAGATAAAAGAAATAGAAATGGTCATGATGTAGAAACGAAGATAAAGTAACTGTTTGGATTCTTTTCTCTTTGACAGAGACACGGCTTATTTGAAAATTCGTAAGGGTTGTCTATTCTGCAACACATATTTTCCAGCGAATCTCATACAAATGTAAATTATTCCCTTTAAATCGATGATTCAATAGAAAGCAAAGTTATATATAGGGTCTGGATGTGGATTTGGATGTGGGTGTGGGGTGGGTATGGATGTTGGAGGTACGCCTGGTTGTGTGTTCCTATAGTGTAAGGTTTTGTTTGAGTGCATGTGTATGGATGCGGATGTGAATGTGCGTTTATAGGTGTAGCTAGATACGCATGGATGTGTGTTTGTGAATGGATGGGACTCAATTCATATGTTGGTTTATGACTCTGGGTAGGCGTCTATTGGTGTTACTTTAATCTGGCTGGTTCGACGTAGATTTATAGTTGGGTAGCTTGTCAATGAAAAACATCTGGAGGATGTAGGTGGCTGTAAGTATGGGTGTGGAAGTGGATCTGGTTTGATTAATTAACCACACCCACACCCTAGTTCCACCAAAAGTCGATTCACATGATCTCTGAAAAACGATTTGAAATCTCAGTACTTTTCAACAAGCTCAAGTGTATAGAAGAAACTTTTTATGAGCTTAGAATAGTTGTAAATTTCATTCACTAAAAACAAGTTTGATGAAGTTTTCATATAACAGCACTTTCAAGGGCCACACGAAAATAATAATGACGATAGAAAGAGCGAGCCCCATATAGTACTTATTTCAAATTCGGGACAAATATATTCGGCAGTAACCAATATGAGCATATTTAATGATGATCACTGTAGCAGACAAATATTACAAAAATCCGAATTAAAATGTCTGTCCATCATAGATTCTTTTTAGCAGGATAAATTGTCAAATCGGAAGTTCGAATAATGCCAGGATCCTCTTTATCACATGATTCAGGGGAAAGTGCATTCATCTTCTCTTGTGATTTAACCCAGGCTTTGGCAATAGCTCGTTTCGTATCATCGTCGCCATTTTCGTACATTTCCTCTACCATATTCAAGAAGGACTCACTCGATTCTTTTGTATTATCGAGTTTCGAGAGTGGTCTACATTAGAATATGAAGAAAATCGTCAGATCAAAAAGATTTTACTTACTGTATAGGTGCTTTTTTATCGTCCTTTAAAAGGCGTTCCCAATTTTTTGACTCTACTTTTCGTAGAGATAAAATGACCATATCTTTTTTCACCTAGATGTATGAGTAATTTATAAAAAACGCAAAAGATAATTTGATATGACAAATAGACTTTGAACGTTGATTGATCCGGTAGAATCGCATGCAGAAGACCGACTTTCTTCAAAAAGTAGTTGATATTTTTTAGATTTTGAATTTGCAGATGGAAGCCACTAGGATAGTACAATATTGAGTCATTAAAATTCGAGAAAAATTTGATCATGAATTGTTACCTTGTTTCGAAGGAACACTGGATGTAGTCCTCGGGTAAATTGCCTGCGCCATCGAGATTTTGAACGTAGACCTTGACAAGTTTATCACTTTGATCCCGTGCTGTCATCAATAAAAGAAAACAGATAGAAATCTTTGTTGTACTATTGCCCTATCATAGACTGATATATCCTTTGTGTATGATGGAGTAGGTGTTGATTAACCATTGGCAGATTTTTCTTCCGCTGGAGCAGCAGCCTGTTGTTGTTGTTGTTGCTGCTTCTGCAGCTATTCCTGAAGTCGGACTAATTCCTTTTTGAATTTGCGTTTTTGAAGCTCCAGATTTTGCTTTATGCGAGAGCGAGTAGTAGAGTCGATTATCCGTTTGATTTCGTCGATATCAGTGGTGACCTACAACAGATGAAACGTCTGTACATAAATTTTAGTTGTTGTTCAGACACAACATCTAGAAATATTTCTTTTTGTCATGAATTTCAAACGATCCTCTTCGATTCTTCGAGGAAGTTGTCTTGTTTCGCACCTCTTGTATTCGCTCTTCGAGTGTCATTGTTGTTGTTTATGGATCGACGGAGATAGGAGACACAAAATCTAAAATTTAGAGTATTGAATATTATTGCAAGTGTTTGTCGATTTCTATTTATATTTACACATGTAAGTATAAAAATAACCGTACCCATAACCTAATAAACAATACCTTTCAAAATTACTTCATATAGTACTGAAAACTATTACTTAGTTATCCTTCTAAAAATTATATTAAAAAATTACTTGATTTAACGTGTTTGGCTCTGAAATTTTACGTCGATTCCTTCAATGTTTACTGAAACTAGCTTTGTTCTCTTTCTGACTTTCAAGACTTGCCAACTTTTTCCTTGAAAATTACTCTGCTGTCTGAAAGTGTCCCAGATTACTTCTACGCATTGCATCATGGTCCTAACATTTTCATGACTGTCATAAGAAATACATATAAACATCGAAATTTCAAAGTAACATCGACGTAAGACTGCATGATCCTGCAATAAATAACTGGATTCGTTAGCGTACCAACCTTCTTAATGATGACGTTTATTATACTATTTTACATATTCACAATGTTCCTACCTTTTGATTAACATACAGTTAAAAATGAGACAGTGATTATTTTCTAATTTTTTCTTAAGAAAAAACTATTTGATAATTGTAAAGTATCCTTTCATTAGAGCATATTATACCTCTTCCAATCGTTCAAGTCCTCTAACCACACAGATGCTTTGAATGCACTCAAAATCATTAGAAAGACCTGTCTTTTGGGTGAAAGCAATGATTTTTCCTAAGAGATCAAAGATATCCATAAAAAATCTACAGATAAATCATGAATAACTGCAAGTAAACTGTAGTTTTCAAGCATTTTTTAGAGAAAGAATCATACATCAATCGATCTGTGTGGAGTCGATCATAATTGTCAATGTTACATTTGTAAAACATGCCCCTAACATCCGCAATGTTCAGAGTTGTCGATTGTTTTCAGGAGTGGGGGGGGGGGGGGGGGGGAGGATAAAATTTTTACAGAAAGTGCTCTCATTTTCGTGGTATGAAAACTTTGGACCAAGGAAAAAGGAGCGACACCACCTCTCACTTTTATTCTTTCAGAAGTTGCAAAAATTTCGCAGAAAATATTCAACATTTTTCGCAGAAACTGCTAAAAATTTCCGCAGACAGCCTGCCATTTTATGTGAGGGAAATCTCCCCTTCCCCATTCCCCCTAATCGGTAAGTTTGGCAATGTTTCGGTACAAAATTTATAACATTGAAAGTAGTTTCCTTACCTTTTCGAATCTTTCTAATAATAAAAATAATAAACTTACCACAGTCAAAGAATTGCAACCTATACGTTTGCTATTGATAATATTTGTTTTTTCTTCGTACGCTCTTCACTCGTTTCTTTTTAAATGACTCGATTCATACTTTTGCAGTATGGCAAAGTTTTTTCTTCTTCCGTTCTCTTTACTTTGTTTCATTCCTTTTCTTTTTGTTTTCTGTTTCTCTTCAAATACACATTTGATGAAACAGAACTTCACGTGGTAACACCAACACATGTATAAAACAATTGTAAAAAGAATCAGTAGGGTGTAGGTGTGGGTGTGGGTGTAGGTGTGAGTGTGAGTGTGAGTGGGGGTATGGGTGTGGATGTGGGTGTGGATCTTGGGTGAAGAGATACTCAAGATCCACACCCACCCACACCCACATCCACACTAGGGGTGGCACTTTATCTTTACTTTATCAAGTAAAGTAAAGTAAATATACTTTACCCGAAAAGTAAAGTAAAGTAAAGTAAAGTAAAGTAAAGTAAAGTGAAGTATCTCTAACTTTATCGAACAAGCAAAATATAGTAAAATAAGATTAAGAAAAGCATGTAGTTGATGGTTATTCATTTCTTAGTTTATTATCATACATTAATCACACTTTAATATGTCAAAAGTTGC